TTTGGTGCACGGGCCAATGCTCTAACCACTGAGCACACCAGCCAGGGTTTACTTGTGATATTTTAAAATAAAATAAAAGCCATGTATTGATTTGGAGAGAAATAAAGTGTGCAATTGAGTGGGTTTTAGTATATTCATAGAGTTGTGCAACCATTTCCATAAATTTAGAACAGTTATCACCCTCAAAGAAACCCTATATCTATTAGCAGTCACACACCTCCAACTACCCCAGCCCTAGACAATCTAATCTGTGTCTTGCCTCTATGAATTTGCCTATTCTGGACATTTATATAAATGATATCATACACTACATATTTTTTTTCAAAGTTCATTCATGTGTCAGTACTTCATTCCTTTTTATGACTATTCCTTAGTATAAAGAAATTATACCAAATTTTATTCACCCACTCATCAATTGGTGAACATTTGGCTTCTTTGCATTTTTTTGCTATTATGAATAATGTTGCTATGAACATGCAAGTTTTTGTGTGGAATTATGTTTTCATTTCTCTTGGGTATATACCTAGGAATGGAATAGTTCGGTTGTATGGGAACTCTATCCTTTTGACAAACTGCCAGACCGTTTTTCACAGTAGCTGCACCATTTTTCATGCCTTCCAGCAATGGGTAAAGATTCTAATTTCTCCACCTCCTTGCCAACACTTGTTATTTTGTCTTTTTGATTATAGTTATCCTAGTGGGTGTGATGTGGCATCTCTTTTTTGGTTTTGATTTACATTATCCTAATGAGAATGATGTTGAGTATCTTTTCAGGTGCTTACTGGCATTTTGTCTATGTTCTTTGGAGAAATATCAATTCACTTCCTTTTCATATTTTCAATTGGTTACTTGTCTTTTTATTGTTTAGTTGTAAGAGTTTTAAAAAAATTAATCTGGATATAATTCCCTCATCAGATTCATGAATTATAAATATTTTTCCTATTCTGCTCTTTTTACTTTCTTGGTGGTGTCTTTTGAAGCATAAAAGTGTTTAATTTGATCAAGTCCAATTAAGCTTTTCTGTAGTTGCTTGTGCATTTGGTGTCATATCTAAGTAATCATTGCCCACTTCAAGATCACGAATATTTACCCACATGCTTTTCTGTAAGAAGTTTATAGTGTGAGCTCTTACGTTTAGGTCTGTGATCCATTGAAATGATTTTTTAAAAACTTTTTTAGTGTAGTAGTTTATATTTGTAAGTTTGACCTTTCTGCCCAAAGCAAGTATTACTTTTATAATGAAAGATGAATCATTCGGAGACAGCGGCCTCGAACCCGAGAGCTGATGTGGCTCCAGTTTCCTAGTCACACAGGTGGGCGGGTCCCTTCAACGCAGCCGGAAGGAGGTCGGTCCACGCGCATGCGTAGCTCTCAGAGAGAGACCGCGCCTGCGCACACGGCCGCTCGCGCCTGCGCAAACGCCCCCGGCCCGAGGGCTGGCACCCGCCGCGCTTTTGCCTGGCTCTGGGTTCTAAATCTCCCGAGCCTCGCGGGACGCGCTCCGTGGCGCTGGCTCCGTCGCTCTGGCTCTCCGCGCCGGGCTTCCGTGGCCTTGGTGGCTGGCGTCCTTGTCAGGTCCCCTTCCACCGCCCCGTCGCATCTTCCTCAGGTCCCCCACTTCCCGGCCTTCTCAACACCGCACGCCCATCCAGTCCTCAGCCCTCGGCAAGTCTTCCTAGGGCGCCCCCCCCACCCCCGCCCTCGGGCCCCCGGTAGAATGGGGGACAACACCAGCCCCATCAGCGTGATTCTGGTGAGCTCGGGGAGCAGGGGCAATAAACTGCTGTTCAGGTACCCCTTCCAGAGAAGCCAGGAGCACCCGGCGTCCCAGACAAGTAAGTGAGCGCCGGGGGCGCGCCCGGCGGCCGGGCCTGAGCAGCCCGTGCAGCGGCCCCTCCCCTTACCGCCTCGCACGTGGAAACTCAAGTCCTTTACTTTTTCCTTTTCCGGATGATACAGTCACTGCCTACTCTTTATAGAGCACTGTTTGGAAAGTGCAGATAAATAAAAAGGAACGGGAGAAAAGTCATAATTCAATAGCCAAAAGCCTCCATTGCTGACATTTCATCCGTGTCTGCAGCCTTTTCAAAAAATATGTGTGAGCACTGCATGCGTGAACCTAAAAATAAAAGGCCAAAATGAGAGGCAACAAGCGTTTCCTTGAGGCCAATAAGAATAGCTATTTGGGATGCTCCGAATAATGTTCTGCAGGAGAGACAAAGGCATTGGGTATTTATGAGAAAAGGAAGGGAAACAATTACATCAATACAAGGAGGGCATTTATTTCTATTGGTCAGATAACATAGTAAAGTCAATTCTGAACAGTTTTTAATTTTCAGTCTGATAGTCATAAGTCAGGTAGTTACCAGGTATATATATGCAAATCCTCACCCAACATGCAAACATTATATATATATATAGTTAATCCTCACCCGAGGATATTTTTCCATTGACTTTTATTTTATTTATTTATATTTTTTATTTTAAAATATATTTTATTGATTTTTTACAGAGAGGAAGGGAGAGAGATAGAGAGTTAGAAACATCGATGAGAGAGAAACATCGATGTGAGAGAGACACATCAGTCGGTTGCCTCCTGCATGGACTGGCAGCCAAGGTACGTGCCCTTGATTGGAATTGAACCTGGGACCCTTCAGTCCGGGGGGCTGACGCTCTATCCACTGAGCCAGACAGGCTAGGGCTGCTTTCTTGTATCTTTCTAGTCAGTTCTTTGGGGCACAGGTTGCTTAAGCCCAGTCCAAAGGTTATTTTGCCCAGTTTTAACATTTCAAAGATTTGAGGCATATAAGACATTACAAGCAGTTTCGGGATGGCAGCTCCAGCTCCATTTTAAAGTAGTTCCATTTATTGTTGTTGGTTTTTGACATAAATGTATTCAGCTTGGAAAAAATAGGGAATTTTCTTTGACTACCTGCCCCCCAGTTCTGCTCCCCTGTTGCAGGGATAACTGCTTACCATTTTAGTCACCGTCCTTCCTGTACATAGATACCAACTATGTATCCATAGGAAAATTATTTGGGGATCCCCCCCCTCACATAAGTGTATTGATCTGCAGTGGCTCTTCCATTGAACAGCCTTGGAGTACTTTACAACTTCGTAAGCAGAGATCACGCTTGCTCTTAGCTGTAGCCTGCAGCTGCTGCGGATGGACGTTTAGGCTACTTGTAGCTGTTCATTATCATGAATGCTCAGTTTGTAATTTATATTCTGTTTTAAAACTTGTTAATAGGGTACAAAGTTTTAAAGGTACAAAGGGGTTTAGGTTATGAAAAGAATGTTCTTTACCCACCATTGATTGACACCCCCTCCCCCCAAGACACCCATTTCCCTTTGTAGGGGCAGCTGCTGTTACCATTTTCCTGTGCATGTTTCCAGAATCTCCTGTGTAAATACAAGCATATGCAGATATTATTTTACTTTTTCTAACCACAAGTGAACGAACACACTTCGCACTGTTCTCTGTGTGTTGTTTTCATTTTCCATCTTGATAATAGTTTCAGAATTATGATTAGAATCATGGGATGAGCATACTGTGATTTATTTATCCAATCCTCTGTTGATGGGCATTTAAATTGTTTCCAATCGTTCGCTACGATAACCAGTGTGAATGTCCTTTTTGTATATATTATCATTCTTCTGGATATAGGATTAATTCCCAGAAGTAGGATGGTTAAATCTAAGGGATAATGAGCATATTTATTTTTTTTTCTTTTCTTTTTTTATTTGTCAATTACAGTTGATATTCAATATTATTTTATATTAGTTTCAGGTATACAGCATAATGATTAGACATTTATATAATTTATTAACTGATCACCCTGATAAGTCTAATACCTAGCACCACGCATAGTAATTACAGTATTATTATTATTATTAAAATTTTTATTGGTTTCAGAGAGGAAGACACGGAGAGAGAAATAGAAACATCAATGATGAGAGAGAATCATTGATTGGCTGCCTCCTGCATATCCCCACTGGGGACTGAGTCCGCAACCCGGCGTGTGCCCTGACCAGGAATCAAATCGTGACCTCCTGGTTCATAGGTCGATGCTCAACCACTGAGCCATGTAGGGCAGGCTGAACTTTTTTGTTTTGTTAATCCTCACCAGAGGATATTTTCCCCATTGCTTTTCAGAGAGAGTGGAAGGGAATTGGGGTGGGGAGAGAGAAAGAGAGAGGGAAACATTGACTGGTTTCCTTCTGCAGGTGGTGGGGAGTGAACCCGCAATCCAGGTACATGCCCTTGACTGGGAATAGCACCTGCGACCTGTGATCCTTTGGTGCATGGGTCAACAATCTAACCACTGAGCAACACCAGCTAGGGCAGTATATGTACTTTAAAAAAAATTTTTTTTTCTTCAGCTAAGACAGAGGAGTTGATACATTGTACATGTTACATTCAGCCACACCTGAGAACAGAACCAGTCCAGAATGTCACAGGTCCAGGCCAAAGATCCAGAAGGGACTGTTTTTGTAAGAGCAGGGTGGGTCTCTCAAAAGGTGGTCACGGCATTCGGATGGCATGTATGTATTTCTAGGTCCCGTTGAGAGTGTAGACAGCAGCATGCAGTCCAGCAGCTCGTGCCGGCGTCCCTGGCCTCTGGCTGCCCTTCTTGCTGCTCCTGTGGCTTCACGGTGCACAAGCTTGCGGTGTACGTGGACCTCTGCCTCATCTTCCTCCTCTTGCACTTCAGCCTGCGCATTCCCTTCTTCCTCCACATGGCTGTCATGGCACAGAGGTTTCTAGAAATGGCGCTCAGGCCGAGAGCTAAACATTCTTTTGCCTGTGCTTTTCCCAGGCTAGTTGACATCATATAGTGAGAGGATATATGTGTATCTGTGTGTAATACATTTATACTTACTTTTTTTTCTGCCTTAATAATAGCAAAAGTATTTCCTAAGTTATCATAACTTCTTGGAAACCATATTTCCTGAAAAAATTTTTATTATGGTAGATCAGGCCGAGAGCTAAACATTCTTTTGCCTGTGCTTTTCCCAGGCTAGTTGACATCATATAGTGAGAGGATATATGTGTATCTGTGTGTAATACATTTATACTTACTTTTTTTTCTGCCTTAATAATAGCAAAAGTATTTCCTAAGTTATCATAACTTCTTGGAAACCATATTTCCTGAAAAAATTTTTATTATGGTAGAAAATATGTAGTATAAAATTTGCCATTGTAACCACAGTTCAGTGGCATTAATCACATTTACCATAATTAATTCACCATATTGTATCACCAGCACCACTATCTCAAAAAGTTTTCCTTACCCCAAACTGAAACTTGTAACCAAACAATGACTCCCCATGTCCCCTGCCCTCAACCTCTGGTAACTGCTAATCTACTCATTGATTGGCTGCCTCCTGCAAGTCCCCCACTGAGCATGTACCCTTGACCGGAATCGAATCTGGGACCTTTCATTTCGCAGGCTGACGCTCTGTCCACGGAGCCAAACCGGCTAGGGCAGTGTCTGGTTTCTTTTTCTTAGCATAATGTTTTAAAGTTCATCCATGTTGTAGTATGTGCCAGAACTTCATTCCTTTTTATGGCTGATGAGTATTCTATTGTGCGTATGTACCACATTTTATTTTTATTTAGAAAATATTTTTATTGATTTCAGAGAGAGGAAGGGAGAGGGAGAAAGAGATAGAAGCATCAATGATGAGAGAAAATCATTGATTGGCTGCTTCCTGCAGACTCCACGCTGGGGACCAAGCCCGCAACCTGGGCCTGGGCCCTGACTGGGAATCCAATGGTGACCTCTGGTTCATAGGTCAACGCTCAACCACTGAGCCACGCCGGCCGGGCTGTGTACCACATATTGGTAACCACCACTTTTCCTGGCTCCACAATCCTCCTGTATGCGGGTGGGTCCCGGTTTCTTAGCCGTTGTCTCCTTTTTGCCCTCACTCAGATAAGCCTCGTAGCAGATATGCTGTCAACAACACCGGAGATCATACCGAGGACCAGGACGGTGACTCCAGGTAAGGGCTTTGAAGTCACTGTAGGACGGAGCTAGTCCTGCCCCAACACCTGTGCAAAGCCCCACCTGCCGTTGACCTGTTTCCCCTGAGAAACCGGGTGTTCTTTTTCCCCATTTGGTGGGTGTTTGGGTAGCATGGAGCCGGGCTGCATAATTTGGTCACATGTTCAGCTGCCAAGCAGGTTGGAGATGAGATGAGGCCATGTTTCTGTAGGTCATTTATCTCCTGGGAGGGGAACATGGAGGAAAGCACACCCCGTGCTGTCCTCAGACCTTGTTCCTCAGGCATGGCCCCGAGGTCACACGTAGGTGCTTGGGTGCAGAGTGTCCAGATGGTGATATGGGCAGAGAGTTGGGGCTGGCTTGACCCGGGGCCTTTTAGGGCACCGATGAAAGCGGGTCTTGTTCCTTCTTGTACGTGCCCCCTTGTTCTCTGTGGGAAGGACTATCATGCAACATGAGAAATGACCGCTTGTGCCTTCTTATGTTCATTTTAAAGCTTGGTAAGTGGTAACACAGACCCAGATGAGGCAGGAAAGATTGCAAGTTGCCTGTCCTGGTTCCCCTAAACATAGCCGAGGTCTCTATGAGCTAAAGGATGTCGCCTCCACGGTCCCACGGAAAAGCTGAGGTCCCCACACTGGGCCTTTTACATGCGAGCTGATTGTACAGTTTCCCTCAGTTCTCTGACAAGGCACCACAGTGTTTACAGTTCCAAGAATATGGTTTTTATTTTGTGTGTGTGAGGACGGCAGGGGCCTCTGGCGTGACCAGTGACTGTCTCTGAAGGGAGCAGGCTTTGGAAAAGGGAACAGCAGGAAGGGCAGGGGAGGTGGGCGGTTGTGGGACATTCAGTGGGTCCTTCTGGTTGACGTGGAGGCCAGTGGTTGTCTTGTCCTTTAAAGGTGGCAACTTGGAACAGACTCTTGTTATAGGCGCCCGGAAAGCTTTTTGCCCCTGCACACTGGGTGGGTGGCTTTGTCGTCCGCTGGGCCACAGACTGGTTTAGAGCAGGGCTGGCCAGCTGCCCGATGCTCTTCCTCTAAGCTCCATAGGTGTGAGGCTCTGCTCAGGACATGAAGACTCAGAAAGAGCTCTTGGAGTGATCTGTGTAGAGGTGTTTTTTAGGAGGGCCAGGAGCACATAATTCCTGCAGTTCATTTTCAGAGGCTTATAAGAAAATCACTATGAGGTAATGCCATTGGGTAATGTTAGCACATTATAGCATCTGATGAACCCACCCCCCGTCCCCCATATTTTCAGAGATACAGGTTAACACCCTTAGGGCCCCAGGGGGATGTGCCCACAACCCAGGTACATGCCCTTGACCGGAATCGAACCCGAGACCTTTCAGTCCGCAGGCCGACGCTCTATCCACCGAGCCAAACCGGTTTCGGCTTCAGAGTCTTTTAAGAAAATCACTATGAGGTAATGCCACTGGGTAATGTTAGCACATTATAGCATCTGATGAACCCACCCCCCGTCCCCCATATTTTCAGAGATACAGGTTAACACCCTTAGGGCCCCAGCTTTATTTTGTCACATAGGCCTGCCAGGTCGCTGCTCTGCCCCTGACGGCTGGGAAACCCTGTTACACCTCAGACGTCTTCCTGAAGCACTGCAGTGAAGGTCATCAGACCATTCTTTGTTCTTCTGGATTATCATCCTCAAGAAGGATGTTCTTCTGGAACCAGCAAGATGTTCCTGCGTGTCAGTTTGCCAGATTGAAACACCGAACAGGCCACATGGGTCACTTGTGAATGTGGTGGTGGCCTGCCTTAGAGAAGTGAAGGTGTAGAGCAGTGCTGCCCAGGGTTGAAGTCATTGGCCAATGTGGCCATTTAAATTGAAATGAACTGAAATGAAATAAAATTGAAAATTTATTTCCTTAGTTTCACTTGCCACATTTTAGATGTTGGGTGGCCACATGTGACTAGTGGACACTGTATTGAATGGCGTAGATTTAGGATATTTCTGTCCCCGAAGAAAGTTCTGTTGGACAACACTGGCTTAGAGAGTAGGCTGGTTTTATAATGTGAATCATCAAGATGATGTGTTTCAGGGTATAAGAATTAGCTGTCACTTCTTAAAAACCCGACTAGAATTTAGGAGAGAAGAACATAGATATTGTCTGTTGTCTCTAAGTCTTGAAATTGAAGTTGAGAAAAGTTGTAGTGTCCCTGATTGTAGGGTATTAGGAGCCAGGGAGCTCCTGCTTAAGTCCATCTCTGGCTCAGTCACCCCACTGGCAGGGACAACGCCATCAGGAGAGGTCCGAGAGGAAGCATGGCGTCCATCGGGAAGGCTGTTGGGGGCCCACTCCCTCCTGACGTGGATGGCTGTTTCTGGCTTCCTCTCCTATTTCCAGCATTGTTCTGGTTACTGCCTCAGAGAAGGCGATGCTGGTGCCTTGGAAGAGTTAACTTCATTTTAAAACACTCTGAATCATTTTACTTTAGCTATCACCCCAGAGCTCTGAAAGGTTTCTGTCTCTGCCCTTTACCTCCCCATTGGCATTGTGAGGCATGGAATCAGGTGGCCCTGCTGCCCTTCTCAGACTTGGCTGCCTTTCTTGAAGCAGTGGGTCCAGCTTTTAGGCACAGTCAAGCCCTGTGCTGGAAGGGGACCTCAGCTGTAGTGCTCACTGGCATCCAGCATGCAAGTCCTCCATACCAGGCACACATGGGCTCCCCCAGAGCCTCTTTTGACAGCTTTGCTTGGGGGGCACATGTGTTGAGAAAGGTGCCCCTACTTGCTGGATCTTAGGTCAGTACACAGAAATGTGGATAAGTAGTGTTGTCCCCAAGCTTGGGTACCTCCCTTCCCTTTTCCAGGCCCAGCTGAGTCTGCCCTGGTGTCGCATTGGCATGTCCCTGCAGGGCAGCATGCTGGGATAAGTGCAGGTTCCGGGTTCCGGGTCTCATTCTCACTCTGTGTCCTAAAGCATGTGATCTGGGCATGTACCTTAGACAGTGAGCCTCCTCTGTAAGATGTCTGCAGGTGGGAAGGCACCTCTGCCTCTCCTTCCCGGTAGGTGTCATGGGAACACCTGCCTCTAGGTGCGAGTCCTTGCTGATGGCTCTGCCTCCCTGGGGGGCAGACACAGGTCCATAAAACATGCTTGTGGAGTTTAAAATTTTACATGCCCCCACCCCCCAGTAAGGAAATGGAACACGTGGAACACTGATGACACTTGGAATCTCTATGTGCTTCTTCCCTTTTGAAAGTTAAGGGATATATATGTATTTTAGTCCTCACCTGAAGGATGTTTGTCTGTTGATCTCTAGAGAGAGAATGGAAGAGAAGGTCCATAAAACATGCTTGTGGAGTTTAACATTTTACATGCCCCCACCCCTCAGTAAGGAAATGGAACACGTGGAACACTGCTGACACTTGGAATCTCTATGTGCTTCTTCCCTTTTGAAAGTTAAGGGATATATATGTATTTTAGTCCTCACGTGAAGGATGTTTGTCTGTTGATCTCTAGAGAAAGAATGGAAGAGAGGGAGGAGGGGGAGAGAGAGAGACATCAACCAGCTGCCTCCCGCATGCACGCCCAAATGGGGCTGGGGATCAAACCTGCAACCGAGGTACATGCCCTTGACTGGGAATTGAACCCGTGACCCTTTGGTCTGCAGGCCGACACTCTCTAACCACTGACAAACCCAGCCAGGGGTTTTATGACCTGTCTAGGTGTAGGAGATAAAGTTCTAGGGGGTTGTACTTGAGCTTCTTCGGATTCTGACTTTCTGGATGATCTTGAGAAAGTCCACACAACATCTTACCCCTTTACTGCTATACAAACGAATGAGCTAAAGTTTGGGAGCTGCTGAAAAAGTGTTCTTCATTGTGTGTTTCTCTTGCGTGGGTCCTTGGTAATGTGTGTTTCTCGGTGAGAGCTGTGGGGAGCAGCAGTCCCAGCGGGGCAGCCTGGTGGGCATGGCATGGCGTCCTGGCAGGCTCTCGCCCCTCGGATGCTGTCTGCACTGTGGGGCTCAGGCCTACTTTCTGTTCCCAGCAAACTTGGAAAGCAGCATGATATAGCCCTGTGTAGAGGAACTTCAACGCTTTTAAATATATTTTCTAAAAAAGCTCAGGTCGGATAGTGCAGAGGTCTTAGACATTTTCTAACGTAAGTGTATACAGCTCTGCCATGACTGCCTTGCTGACGGGGCCACATGGGCAGAGACTCAGGGAGATCAGCCATGCAGGTGGTCATAGCATCTCAAGAACTGGGGCTGAGGTGGTCAGTGCATCTTACATAAGGCTTTTCCCTATGGGGTCTCACTGATCCTGTTGAGACGGTTTGTCAGATTAAATGCTTATGCTTAGGCACCTGGCCAATGTGTGTGTGCTAGGCTCTGACCCAGGTCTTCCGGCCTTGCTCTTGTTCTGGAAACTGACCCTCACTCTGGCCCAGTCTATGTTTATGTGAGAGAATTTGAGCTTTAGTGAGAAAACTGTGTGATAAGTCTTCAACTTGGGGAGTTGTCTGTATCCTTTCTTGTCTGGTAAGTTTCATAACCTTGACCTCAACAGTTAATGCTTAATGGTAGTACTTCTGCTAGACATTAATGCTGTTTTAATAAAAACAACTATAACTTTTTGTGATTTTAAAAATCAATGTGTTTTTGTTTGGTCTTGATGGTCCTGTTCCCATTTCAGCGAGCCATGTCCTCCAACCGATGAGCAATTGGTTGCAGGGTAAGACCAAGACTTCTCCACCGTCTTTCTGTCCTGATTTCTGCTACCTTCTCTTCTTGTAATTGTGCTTAACTCCTGATTCCCCTCAATGTTGAAGAATGACTAATGAGGCACACAGGCTCTCGCTCGGATCCCACGGCCCCTGCCCTTTCTCCACTTGGAGTTACCTATTTCACATTACCCAGGAAGCCTAAGCAAGGCTGGCTGGCACCAGGGAGACTTGTGGGACCAGGCTTGCACTCAGACCTCCTCCTCCAGGCAGGCACCAGTAGCCCTGTGAGGCCAGTAGGTGAGCAGAAGCAGGGTTTCTTATCTCCCTAGCTTATTGCCCGCCCCGCCCCCCAAGAGAGATCCTTGTTTAGTCTCTTTGCCTTCATTTCTCAGAGGGGTTTAGTGGGGGCCTTTTCCCCAAGGGCTGGGTGTTAAATGTAATGCTTGAGGTTAGATGCTATTGTGTGTGCCCTTTAGAAGCAAAATGCACCCATGGAGTTTATCTGGCACTTCCTCAGGAGGGCATGAATAAGGTGTGACCCTCCTGTCCCCGTGACAGGATATCCCCTCTGGGCATTGAGGCATCTCTGAGCCCCCATCACCGAGGGTGCAGAGTCAGGCTCCCGTTCATGCTGTCCCTCCCCCTTTTTTGACCAGGCTGGAGATCAGTCCCTGCTCCTGACTATCTCAGAAGGAGAGGAAGGTCTTGGCCTGGTTCCTAGCTGGGCTGGTTCAGCTCCCTAAATTTTAAATTTCTAAGTTATTCCCGGAATGTTAGCTTTTGTAACAGCTATTTTATTGTGTGCAAAACTTACTAGGCCTTTTACCATCAAAACAAGGGATAGAGATTTTTGTAAATTTTGGAAACAACAATCAAATATTGTCATTTGTTTTTGTTTCAATTTGCTATTTATAACAGTTATTCCCCTACTCCCCAAATCTCATGATATAACTATGCCTTTGTGTATATTATATCAGCAGACACACTATATAAAGGATAAAGCCACTTAAGTGTTTTTTCTCATCGTAAGTGTTAATATTGCAGTGGTGAGTGGATTTCTCTGTGGGCTAGACTCGCTCAGACAAGCACCATCCCCCTGGCCGCCCTAGAGGGCCTTCCCTGATGACCATGTAGGGCAGGGTGGCTTTTAACTTCAGCAGCACATGGCTTCCTGGTTGGCTCCTTCTGCAGATGCTGGCCTCTCTGGTCTTGGGAGGAAGCATTTTTTATTTGGCTCTTGGAAGGATGCTTTCGGATTTGGATATTTATAGATATTCAGGAGACCGCTTCTTGCCTCTGAATCTCAGGACCCATCCCACAGCCAAACTAGCTTAGGTTCCTGGACTAGTGGCTGAGGCCAGGGCTGAGGCTCAAGTGTGGGTCTTGATGACAGAGCAGAGGTTTTTAATGGAGGTATTTAGATATCACAGGAAAAAGTGAACTTTCTGGAATAGTGGGAGGTTGTTTTCTTTACCTTATCTTTGTCCCTCGGTGGCAGAGTGGAGGAGCTATTTGTTTAGATAGGATGTGAAATGTTGGCACTGGATCAGTCATTAGGGCAGAAGTGTTTGTTTATCACCCTGAGCCCTCTCTCACCATCAGACGGGAGTTATAGGGCAGAGTGAGTGATTTAGAGTTTTTAAAGAAAGCATATAATGCCTCTGGTCTAAGACACTGGAATATTCCATCTCTGGTGTAATCACTCCGGAGAGCAGTATTCCCGGGAAGAGAGACCCATAATAGGCAGCTGAGGACTTAGGCAATGGGTCCCCCATTTCCCAGACTGGCTCTGACGACCTCTCTGACAACCTTGGTGTCAAAAGGGCCGAGTGCAGTCCTGACAGTACAAGAGCCAAACCCTCTGCATCTTGTTTGTCTGCGGGCCACAGAGCAACCTAGGACACCTGGAGGACCATGTCAGTCCCGGGGAAGGCTGGAAGCCAGTGTGACACCCTCCCTCCAAGGCCTTAGCAGTTCTAGGCTCCCCTCCTATAGACTTGGAAAGAGTTCTCTAGCTGCTTGTCTTGTAGTTTGAGTGCTGGTTGATCAGCAAGGTTCTTGTTGCAGGCTGGCTCCAAGTACTTAAAATTTTTTTTTTTTATTATTTTGGAAGAGAGAGAGAGAGAGAGAGAGAGAGAGAGAGAGAGAGAGATTGATTGTTCGCATACTTATGCATTCATTGGTTGCTTCTTGTATATGCCCTGACGGGGGATGGCACCAGCAACCCTGGTGTAGCAGGAGGATGCTCTGCTACACCAACTGACTACCCAGCCAGGGCTCAGGTCACTCTTACATTAGATGGTGAGCCCTGCCATGTGTAAGGAGCCCAGAGCAAATGACCCCCTTCCTAGATCCTTTTATCCCAGAGTCATTTCTTATTTCAGAGTTGAGCTGAAGCAGCAGTTTGTAGCAGACCATCCTTTTTCTTCAGAAAATGGAGAGGTATGGTAGCAGTCGCTCCCCTCCCCCACATGAGGTCATCCAAGAGAAAAGCATCTACTTTGGTGCCTGGTTCACTGTTGCTCCTTAGCAGAGGCCCAGGATGCATGCTGGAGTGTCTGCCTTTGATGGCCTCCCGGGCTCCTGGGGTCGGTGCCCAGGGGCAGAGCATGGCCCTGTGGGAGCTGGAGCCCCTTTCCCCAACACAGTGTGCTCTCCCAGCATGGATGCTAGAAGTGCTTTCTGCGGGCGGAGAGATGAGCACAGAACTTGTCTCTTCTGGCTCCAGCTCAGACACGGTGCGTCAGTGTTTCTAAAGTGAAGGCCCCCGCGAGCCTGGGTTCTGAGATAAGAGTCTGCCCGGCACCCCCAGCACTCTCCTTCCCGTGGTGACGCTCCCTTATCTGGGTCTCCGTGGGCAGGAAGGAACTGGGTTGCCAATAAGAAAACACAAGTGTGCAGGTGCACCTGGCAAAGAGGTGAACTCATATCCAATCTGCTCTCACCCACTCCACAGCCATTCCAGATCTGTGGTCCCCAGTCCTGTGCATCCTATGTCCACATCGTATCAGTGGGTCTGGATATCTCGCTCATCTTTTAATAAAAACTGGAAGGTTAAGTGTTCAGGATAAGGAAGGGTCAGGAAGCCATGCTGAGAAAGGTAATTAGCAGTTAGTGCTGTACTCTTGCCCTTCACACAGCACTGAGGGGGTGGGGTTCCCGGGAGTTGAGAGGTGCAGCCTGGTAAACCTGGACCTGGTGGTAGAGCCCCCCAACCCCCACCCGTGAGCCTTAATGAGCAGCTCCTCAGGGCAGCGCCAGCTTCAGCTGTTATTCCTCCCTTTACCTTTAAAAGCAAACTGCAACCTGTTTCTCTCCTGAATTTCATAGAGCATGCCAAGAAATTGACAGCATGTGCCTTCAGTCTATGCTTCTCATGCCTTTTACCTTGTAATTTTGGTGATTTTATGTCCCAAATCTTGGGGATTGCTTCAGAAGGCAACTGATAGAAGCTTCCAGGTCATCAGTGGGGGTCAAGCCACTTTGCGCACCAAGCTGCCATATACTGAGATCCTTATCCCCTGAGGGCAGCTGGTGTGGGGCTGTGACACTTTATTCACTTATTTCCACTCTACCTCTTTTTAATTTTAAGGTTTTCAGATGTCATTCTGGCAACAATTTTGGCAACCAAGTCTGAAATGTGTGGCCAAAAATTTGAACTGAAGATCGATAACGTGCGTTTTGTCGGGCACCCGACGCTCCTGCAGCACGCGCTGGGGCAGGTAAGGGCCTCCCTGAAAATATAAGGCTCCCCCTGGGCAGGCATGGCCATTCGGCCTGGGCCCTCAGGGAACCGTGGCTGCCACTGGCTCCGGTAAAGACAGCGAGTGTGTGCCAGACCTCACAGCTACTTGCTGTCAGCTGCACATCACAGATGCTGAGGGACCCTCGGAGAAAGAGACAGGCATGCTTGCCCCCAGAGTTTCAGTCCCTGCCCCTAGCTTTGGTAAAGTGGCACAAGCATTTCTTCTCACTTGTTAAGTGATCTCATGCCAATATTATTATTAATTTAGCTCTTACTGTTGTGCTGAATCCTTCATATACGTTCTCTGGTGAGTGAAATGTTACCGTACTGGAGTCTTAAGACAGAATGCACTGTGACCCAAAGGAATCTGCACCCAGAACCTGCCAGTCAGTCCGTGGCACACAGGCAGAATCAGCAACGGCATCACTCAGATTCTGAAGGCTTTTGATATGACAGTGTAAGATTTAGCTCCATTTATATGATCCAGAAATATGAGGGTCTGTGAGGTGGCCCTCAGATATCCTCCATGACCAAGCTGATGGAAAGAGCTGAGGTGGTTGGAGGTGCTAAGACATGAGACGGTCTGGGTGCACCTGGCCCAAGGACAGCACCATCCCTCCTCACTGAAACCCCTGAGTAGGGATTAGATCCCTGACTGTGACCTGTGGGTGATGGAGGGGAGATTTGGCAGCCTGCTGGCAGTCCTGGGCGTATACAACTAGAGTGACAGGCAGGATGATGAGGAGCTAGTTGGGATAGCTCAGGGAGAGCTGGAGCCCTGGCCTCTTATACCCCCTAGTGGCAACACTTGAAATCAGCGTGGTGTTTGTGACAGGTTGGCTGGCTGCCAGAGCAGCAGCCCTGTCTCTGCTGGCCCTTACCTGCCCAAGAAATTGACAGCTGGTGTCTTCAGTCTATGCTGGGACATTGTTTTCTCTCTCTCTCTCTCTCTCTCTCTGTCTCATATATTTTATTGATTTTTTTTAACAGAGAGGAAGGGAGAGAGCGAGTTAGAAACATTGATCACTCAGAGGGAAAGCAGGGGAGGGTGGGGGTGAGGGGGAAAGATCAACCAAAGGACTTGTATGCATGCATATAAGCATAAGTGATGGGTGTGGACAACAGGAGGTGAGGGTGAGGGCAGGATTCGGGGGATAAGGGGACATTGGGGGGACACATTTGTAATATCTTACTCAATAAAGGGGAAGAAAAAGAAAGATCGATCAGCTGCCTCCTGCACACCCCCCATTGGGGATGTGTCCGCAACCGAGGTACATGCCCTTGACCGGAATCGAACCTGGGACCCTTCAGTCCACAGGCTGACTCTCTATCCACTGAGCCAAATCGGTTAGGGTGCCCTCTCTCTTAATCATCCTGAGTACTTATCATACCTGGTAGAGATGACCTCAAGAACTCAGGTGGACACTGCGGGTGGCAGTGGGGAGGATGTCTGGGCAGAGAACACTCCATCTGCTTGGGCCCCTCTCCATCTTGTCTCCTCTGGGCACTTCGACCCACTTCCATTGACTGGGGCAGCCTCATCGTGCTGGGCCAGAGCACTGACCTTCCTGTTATCTCCGTGGGGACTCATCTGTCCATGCCATCACCACTAGCTCATGCAGAGGTGCGGCTCGATTCTCCGAGACCACGGGCTCTGTTTTGTTTTCTTTTGGTTCTGCTGTATTTTGGAACCTTTCCCCATGCTTAAAGTAGAATAGCTCTAAACAGCTCTTCTTGGGAAGTTGGCTCTCATTCAATAGAATTATGCGTCTTTTACAGGTCTCCAAAACAGACCCGTCCCCGAAGAGGGAAGCTCCCACCATGATTCTTTTTAATGTGGTATTTGCACTAAGGGTGAGTGTTTATAAGTGGCTGAAGGGCATGGAAAGAGGGCAAATCAGGCAGGAGGGTAAGGGGAGGAACAGCAGCTCATTTCTGGTGAGTGTGTCATTGACTCAGCCTGCAGTGGGCATGGCATTGGTCTACTCTTACTGTTTTCCTCTTTTTAAAAAAATAAAATACACATAACAAAATCTACCATTTTAACTATTTTAAAGTATATGGTTTGGTGGCATCTTACAACAGTGTAACCATCCCCATTATCTAGTTTCAGAATGTTACTGTTACCCTAAAAGGAGCTCAGCTATTCCTTTTCTCTCCCGCCCTCTCCCAGCCCCTAGAAACCACCGATCTACTTCCTGTCTCTGTGGATTTACCTGTTCTGCATGTTTCATATGCATGTGATCCTACAGTGTGTGACCTTGTGTCTGGCT